TGATATTTAAAACTATTTTCATATTTGATTAAACTGCAACAAAAAATTTATATGAAGGTCCCACTGAAGCAAAAGTGCATGTTTTTTCTTAACAAACTTCACATTCAACCATCTTTTTTGGCAAATTTTATCTCCCGCATCCCTTTCGAGAAAGCTTTTTGCGGGGGCAACCATTATTCATGATTAATTCATACCATCATCCATAAATAATCAATAAATAATTTCATAATCAAAGACAACCGATTGATTACAATTGCGGTTAATTGAAATAATTTCATAGTTGCGGTATTACTTATTTATTTACTGATTATTGTTTTTTTCTCTGAAAACTCACATGCAAGCAATTGAGCATTTCCAAACGCTCAAACTGCATTTTTTTGAAAGCAGAAGATTTCCAATAACGATGCCGTTTCACTTCATTCATGAGGGCATCACGAACTTCACATTCACCCATCGGTATGATATCGTCAAAATAGCGATTTGATGCTGAGCCATCTGAAAGTATAAGCACATGAGGCTGCCATTGAAAAATAGCCTGTCTCTGTGATACTCTAAACATATCTACGAGTACTTCTACATAATCCATCAACCCTATAAAGTACACATTTGACATTTGACCAACTTGTAAAAGTTTGAGAGTTTTTGATTCTCCTCACAATGAACAAACACCGCTTACCACATTTCGTGATCATCGTGAAGCATTAAAAACTTACAAGGTAAGTATTCGCCTTAATGTGATTCGAACACAATTGAAATGATTTTTTTTCAATTTGGGGGAAATGAAAATTTTAGAGACACTGCTTTTCCACAAACTGGATTTTAAGCAATTTTTCGACAGCCTAAGAGAGTTTACTTATTAACATTTGGGTTAGGATGAGAACTTCATTTTGATTGAACAACCCAACTAATACATTAGCATATTTTTTTGCGATTCAAATAGTTGTAGATCAAATTCTGAGAACGATAACTGTAAGTTAGTGGAGTGAAGATAATGGTAAAGTAGTTTTTTGAGCAGGTATTCTACAGATTTCCAAAGATTTGGTATGACTTCCCAAACAAACAAGGAAACCTTACTTGACGCATTTAGAAGTGAATTGATGTACGAGTCCGGTGGTGGCTCCGGTGTAATTGTCTTGTATCTGTTCAGCATCATTGCGAAATTCTGTAGGATATGCCAGAAATTGAAGATTGAATGGCAAATTCAAAAAAAGAGAGACAACAACAGGACAACAACGTTCTTTCATGAGCTCATAAAGTTATATAGCCGTAGCAT